ACCAGGCGGGCCACAAGAGGTCAGCGCCTACATTGGATGGCACATAGCTGCCATAGACAAGACCCTGGCCATAGCAGCGCGGGGCATTCTACCAGCGTGGAGGACAACCCCTATAGCTGCACTCTTCCGAGATGCCGGATTGCTACCAGCAGCAGTAGCACTAGAGCAAGCTAAACTCAGATTTGCAGCCCGTCTACGCACCACAAATGCAGAACACCCCCTTACTAGGCGCACACTAGTACCTATTGTAAACAGGGGCGTAAAAACAGGACAACCCCAGCGAGTTAAGACTAAAGTCCAACAGATAGCATCTCTTCTACCAGAGATTCCTAGGACTACACTTATAGCCCCTTACTACTTGACTGGCTGCTGAACAGACCCAACGCTTAGCATAGACAAGAAGACTGCAGCTAAGGCTTTTAGCTAATAGTAGGCCTAGCTCTTACTACTAGATGTTACTATCTTCTCAGATGGCTCAGAACAGTACACTAAGGAAGGAGGAAAGTGGGTCACCTATGGCTTTGCAGTGTATCAAGACAGAAAACAACTCTAGACTGGATGTGGATCACTCCACCCTACCTCCCACGTCTTTGACGCTGAGGCAATAGGAGCGTAGAGAGGCCTCCAGCAAACTATAAGACAACCAGCGCTCCGCACCCGCCGAATCTGGCTGTGCATAGACAGCACCTCAGTGATATGGTGCCTCAGGGGCGACGCACCCCCTACCTCTCAATGGGCCTTTCTGGAGTGCCATGGTGCCATAGAGACCCACGACGTCTCTATTAAATGGGCCCCTGGACACCTGGGCATCGAAGGGAACGAGGCAGCAGATAGGCTAGCCAACCTAGAAGCCCAGCAGCCATCACCTGCAACTGGAAAAGCTGCCATGCCTACACTCTCGGGCATCAAGTCAGTCGCCCGCAAGATACTACGGCACACACAACAGACTTGGTGGTCTGACAAGAAGACTAAGCTCTCTGTGTGGTACAAGAGCTGGGACCTGGACTATGCGCCACGCAGCAGTCCAAAGGAGCTAGACCTACCAAGAGCCACCTTAGCCAGGCTACTCTCTATCCAATCTAGACATGGCGATTTTGCCTGGTATTATCAAAAGTACAACCACAAGGATGCAAACCTCACCTGTTCATGCCAACAGGACAAGACACCAGAGCACCTTGCGCTTTGCCGCAAGACCCTAGGGACCTTTAGCAGATAGCCACTTCGACCACCTATACCGCCGTCTAGCCAGGCCGATGGCCTAGCGTACACTGCAGTACTAACAAGGGAGCCAGAGGCCTTCGAAGCCTTTGTCAAACTTACACAGTACTACACCAAGATCTGCCCCCGCTAGCTCTTGCAGTCCTGCAACAGCAGCAAGCAATGCAGCACCTAGCAGTAGTAGGTCCAGCACAACAGCTGCAGTACTCCCCACCCGTCTACCTCTATTACCCTTCCCCCTACCCCTCTCCTCCTCTCTCCCTACACGCACACACACACACACACACACACACACACACTCCCTCTCTCTCTCTTGGCACATAGATGCCTCAAAATGCAAGGACATCACCCTAATGTACATACATCGCTCAGCCTCCCCAACTGGACGAGGAGCTGTAGTTTTGAAATGGTAGCAATACCCGCGCAGGCAAGAAATGCTTTCTAAGGTAGTGTGTTTGCACTGTAATTCTATAGCTTAGCACGTTGTATATGCCCTTCGGGAGGCGAGATGGTGGACTTTGTCCCTATTAACTAGACGTAAAATGAATACCAACCAACCAACCAACCAATCCAATAGATCCCAACGTTATGCTGGATAGGTTCTGCTACACCACCCCTGACGACTTAGGATCAGTCTCCTCTAGTTCTACAGCTTATTCTGCAGAGGATTGGCTTAAAGCTTGCACTACACTTCATGCAGAGGTCAAGGATCACCGCAGTGTAGGCGCGCGGAAGCTGGGTCAAACTATCCACCATCTATCAACTCAAGTAGAGTTGCTAAGCACTGAACTTGACGCCTTGCGCAAGAAGCTATACCAAACCAGGAAGCGCCAGAAGCAACCTAATAGACAATTAGACTTGCAACAACACCAAGAGTATCATGGAGGTGCGATAATGTGGTCTCCTCGGTCCTTCCGGGAGGCGCGCGCTCGCATGAGTGTTGCAGACCACGAGAGGCAAGAGGAGGAGCTCAAAAAGGCAGAGAAGAAAGATTCAGCTACTGCTAATAAGCTTTTCAATGAGAAACTAAAGGAAGAAAAGCGTGCAGCAGCTGCAAAGGCAAAGGAGGTGCGTGAGCGTGAGCGTGCAGAGGAACGCGCAGCCATTGATGCGCGCAAAGAGCAGAGACGTAAGGATAAAGAAGCTCGCAACACTGCAAAAGCTCTCAAAGTATCCCAAAGAGGCAATTGCACAACCTCAAAAGCTTCTGCAGTCAAACAGAAGCCTGCACGTCGTGCTGTGGGTGCTCGTAGTTATCCCAAGTCTGCGACGCCTCCGCTACCACGCGCAACTGTCACTACCCGGTCTGGCCGCACCGCCACAAGATACCAGTAACTTTGTATAAGAAGCTTTGTTGCGTAGGTCTATAGAATACTCCACCAAAAAATCTCACGATAATAATTATTGTACGTGGCTCTACAGCTTCGTCTTTGTATTTGCAGTGCAGGGGTGGAGCGGGCGTTGTTCGACTCCGGGCGTTGTGCGCACGGACACGGTACGGTACGGTACGGGGTTCCCGATACCGTTAGGACTATCCGTTCTGATCCACATCTATCGTAGTCTGATCCATGGTCCCTGCGTTAGTCTCATTTGAAATCTTACATTATTTTGCTCTCAGTCCATACTATCATGTTGCAGTCCTGATCCTGTCGACTTCCGCACTATCGACTTTTCTCGTTGTTGCGGTCTCTCGCGCTATCCCGTCAGGCGTGCGCCCAAGGACTTGGCAAAGGCCCGAGATACACATCATTTGGTACCCCTTCCCTCTGTCACCTTCTTTTCCAGTGAGGCAGAGCCGACGCTGACCATTTTAACCGTTAGAGCCGACAGTGAGCAGACAATGCGCAGCATGTCCACTTTCCATCCATTTCCACGGTTGCCATTGGAACTTCGCTTAGCGATATGGGAAATGACCGTTGAGCCTCGTGAAGTCGAGGTCCGCATTGTCAAGCCCAAGCCGATACCAGAAGGCCCACCCGCGCCGTTGTGGTCAAAGCCAACAGATTGGTCGTACATCAGCAGGGCGAAATTCGAAGAAGCCATGAGCGACATCCCTACCTCAACACGTGCAGGACGCAAGGCAAGAAAGAAGGCCTGGGATCAGTGGGACCACTACCATACATACGTTCATTTGACTTCTCCAACAGTTCCTGTAATCCTTCATGCTTGTCAAGAAGCTCGCAACCACAAACTATATCATCAGGTCTACCTAGAAGGAGAAGACCAGCCTTCTAATGATCGCCGATATGTTTGGTTAAATCTAGACATTGATCTGTTGAACATAGGAACGTGGAGTTTGGTATACTTCTTACCAATAGCGTCATTGATCAAGCGGCTGAAGCTCAGTCGTGAGACTCCGGAGGAGTGGGACCATGAGATGGACCTGCTGTCCAACTTTATCAACGCTGAAGAGGTGCAATTAGTCTGCATTGGTGGCTTCATCGATTGGGGAGAGGAAGTGGATGCAGTCAAGTGGCCATGCGGCAAGGAGAAGTTGCGTTTTCTTGAACCACACATCACGTTCACCGACGGGTCACCTGTTGGGTATCGTGAGCTGAAGCACGCGTTCCGGAGGTTCTGGTCGGCTGCTAACCCGGAATACTACGATGCTGATTACTGGAGTGAGGATGAAGACTACGTGGATTAAAGAAACTCAATCTTCTTGATTACTCCAATCATTCAGAGGAGTCATTTGCATGTGGCGCTTGCTTTGGCTGTCTGGACAGTTTTGATTTCTACGAATACCAAAGAAGTACTGAAAATTTCTGATCAAAGAACAATGCTAGTTCCTCCAATCGTGCATTCACAAGCCCGCAGTCTTCTCTTAAGCCCGACCGCAATTTGGCTTTCTATCTTCTGCTCGACAATAGGAGTCTATGACATGCTTGTGCGTTTGGGCTTGGCCTTTTTGTCCATATATCTCTTTTGCTGCGGCCGAAACTTTCCGCTTTGCGTCTACTATGCCTGAATCCTCAGCCTTTTTGATTGTTTCCTTCCAGTCTACAGTATCCCAAGCTGAGCCACCGGAGGTCTAAGTATACCGTCAGTGCCGATAACTCAACATTCAGTCCAGTTTTAAGTGCTTCAATAATGCACCAGCCTTGGAACGTTTCGACAGACGTTGTATGGTACTTGAGATCAGGGGTTACTTACGGGATTGGTGCCTACAGTGGATGCCAATATCAGCTTAAATCTTAGGAGTACACACCAGATGATAGTCCTTACCAGCACTTTTTGTTACTACAGTTATTCCTTGAGTATTAAGCAAGTTCCGCGCTTCTTGGACTAGATAAGCTCCATGGTCTCCACACGTGCGTTCAGTACCAAGTTTGTTACTTTGTCTAATTCCAAGATTAACATGGCATCAGACCAGCGCTGAGGCTGAATTGAAGATGACGCACCATAGTCTGCAAACATCTTTTTCTGCTCGTCGGTCAAGGTGTCCTTCTTCGCCTGGTAAGTCTTTTCTATCCTAGAGTGTTGATCGCCATTAGTCTTCAAATTACATCTGACATGTGCATTTCTCTGTAAAGAGGCAGATCTTACTCACATCTTACTGGCCTTTTTGATGCAGTCATTCCATTCTACAGTTTCTTTCATGAAAGCGTTGGCACCGAAGTTCTTCACCTTAACATCTTCTGGCTTCTGACCTGGACCTGGCTTCATCAACATGTTGTACGTCTTCGTTGCCGTTTTTTCGATATCTATAGGGTCATTGTTCACCTGTACACCCCATTGTTTACCTCTGGACACTCCGCCCAAGGACTCCACAAATTTGTTGTAGGTAAGAGGTGTATTGCCTCGATGTCCTGGCTAAAGGTCGACAGGTTAACTCAATTGTCTCATGCACAGTACGCGTGTCGTTAAAATAAATACCGTTCATTCCAGCCTCCTGTACAGGTTCTGGTAGCGCCGTTGAATTTCTTCTTCACGCACTGCCAGCCCATGATCTGATCATTTTCGGCGTTGAGCTTTGTATCGATATAATACGCCTGATACATGAAAACACGTTCAAGGGCGCCTTGGTACCCACCAGCCCACACAGAAGTGAGGAAATACAAGAGGATGGGCAGCATTTAGAACCTCATTGTTGCAGAAAAGCTTCAGAAATTGAAAAGCGTCGTGTCAAGTGTGAGACTAAAGAAGTTGGAAACCTGGGAGAACAGCGTATTCCAGGCGAAGAACGTAAGGACGGTGTGTCTTGTTAAGCACAACAATTTGAGCGTTGATGCCCTTGCTTGTTCTGCCGCCCCAGTCAGCCATAGATACTCCGCTACAATAGTCACCCTGCATGCGTGTAGAGCCTGACTCTCATTTGAAAAACACTGATGCTACATTTGGATCCATATTCCTGCACGGGCGGGATCTCGCGAGCAACTCGTCCAGAGCATTTATCACACGCAAGTCAAAATGTCGACTAGGCTGCATGCCGTGGTCTAGGCGGAAATAAAACCATGTTTTAGGGTTAGTCGAATCTCCACGCTGAACCCACGCATGTTGGTGCAGGGTGCGATCATCCTTGCACCCAAGGGTCAAATCTTGGCATCGGCGCACTTCTTCCAAGAGGAAGAGCAATTTCCGCGCGGCTGTTATCGAACATACGCCACCCGTGCGTGAACATAAGCTATGTATGCATGGCTTAAGCTTTGAGATCTGTCGCCTATGGACTGTTACTGACATGGGGCCTGCCGGAAATACCGTGCTGCTGAAAGCTCATGCGTCTCGACCAACTTGGCGGACACCTTGCATGAAGGCCTAGACGCAGATCTATCATTGCTGAGCCGTGCCTGCTTAGAGCTCATGTCAGCGGAAAAATTCGCAAGCGTACGATTAAAGCGTTACCCAATGCAGCACTGCACAGTCTATATGTGCGTGCCTCAGCCTCATTCATATTCTTCTTTCCCATCTTTTAGTTGAGTCTTGTAACCACGTGGGTGAAGTCACATGATATCTTGTTGTAGCAGGTACCGCCCAGTGGGCAAGTGCACTTACCTCAGAGCTGAGAGCTCCGTACACAATCATCACAACACGACAACAGATAGCAATACAATTGTTGATCCCAGCCTCTACCCGACACTGCACCAGGCAGTTATACAAAATGTACATACATTAGCACCCCTAAATTGGCTGGTAAATAGGTATGATATCTGCTGCGACAGTATCTACGTGAAACAACCAATATCAATCGGTGCTCGACTGGGCGACCTCATTTCTCCGAACATTACCTTCCCAATGACCAACTTCTTTGTCAAGGGCCTTACTTTGCGCAGAGGATTGGTGAACCCTAAAGTCTACTCACAACAACTAGTAGAAATTATTAGCTCAATTGTTGCTAAGCCAGGGTTTATCAAGACATCGGTCATCAATATTGAGCAACTTCCTAAGTACTACACAAGATTCAGCAACGCAACTAAGGTTAAGGTCTACATAGATATGGATTCTAACCGACAGAACGTTACTCTATGTTGCGGTATCAAGGGCAAATGTATATAACGAGTGTATTATGTTGTTCTGTGTTGTCGTGTTGCTTGTATCTTTGCTCTCCAAGGCTCGCTGCGGGGTTTGTTTTGATGATGTCTTTGTGATGCAGCTGAGGTAAGAGGTGCTCAACAACATGAGGAAGTAGTACCAGACCACCGCTAAGAACACGTGATCCGCTTCTCCTCTCAACTGTTACAAAAAACATACAACAGCGGGTATTCGCTAGTGGTCACCCACCTAACTACTAATCCGCCGGTACGTTGCTTAAATATGGCTGAGCGAACGGGAAGCCTTGCTTTCACCCATGCGTCTGCCCAAAAAGCCCTTAATATTCCTGTATGCGGTGATCTGAACAGCGTAGCGCCGTTTCTGGATGTGGGCTATTAACACACATTACCGTTCGCCAAGGTTTATTTCTGGGTCTAGTCGCTTGGCGGAGTAAGCCACCAACATGACAGCTCAGCGCTACTGCGAAAGCTGCGAAAAGCAGCGGTGCTGGCGCTTAGGTTCCACCTGAAGCACCAGCTCATCCCACCCTACGCACGAGCGCGCACAAGCGTTCTGAGAAAGACGTCAATATCAATCGCGACACTACAGAGCAACACAGCACGTTGCTCGTGCGCGATCTTAACAGTAAGTTGCCCTGGCCATCAAGGCGTCCTGTACAAACAGCTGAGAGAAACACGTAGTTTGCTTATCGACGCCCTACTCAACCCAACAAACAGTTCCCGCGAACCCTCCAAAACATACAAACGTCGATACTACTAGATTTAGAACCGGAGGCCTAGTCAGCGATCGACGCGGATGGTGTAGCGCATCAGCGAGAAAGAGACACGCATTGAGAAGGAGCATTGCGGGGTTTAGGATGGATGCGGTGAGTCTGCACACAGTGCCGCAGGCGGGACGATTCACACGCGTTGTTGCAAATGGGCGTCAGGCTGCAGAGCGGGCCACTCTCCCTGGACTGTGGTTTTGCGTTCTTTTTGCAGATACAATCAAGTATTTATGCTTGATTCTGCAATCCCGCAACCCTTAAAGCGTGAAACTCTCGTGCAATGGCTCTCCTCTTCTCTTAAAGTCAATTAAGTCCCTGTCAGACGAAGTCTTCGGACAAAGTGCGGCTGGAGTATTGTTAGTGGCATTGTGACGAGTCAACAGCTTTACTAATCCATCTTAGACGCTCTATCCCCCTCACCCAACCTATCACGCAAGCCGCCTCCGACGAATTGACCATACGAAGGGGACGAACTCAGCGAACTCTTGCTGGAGTGTGTCAAACCATTGCTATGCGTCCTCGCGCTGTTAGTGGGCCTTTACGCGGGTTTTTTCATATGGTACAACATGGCCTGGATGCGGGACATGCTAGCAGCACAACGGTGAACGGAGCCGCTGGTTTACAGAAATGGGTGAACCGTCGGTGGTGATCGTGGCGCAGCATTTGTGAGGGTTCCGTTTCCTGAACCCGGAGTCTGTGTAGGCATCACGACGCCGTACTATTACAGCGCAGTGCATGGCTACATAAGCTCTTGAAGATCAAAGCAAAGTACTATTCCACCTACTCAATACAATGTGTACCACTTCCGATCGTGCCCCTAAGTTCGGCTTTCCAGCATCCTACCATGCCCACGAGTTTCAGCCACTGAAACCACAATTGCTTGAGGCTGACTTACACGACTTGTTCTCATTCATCTGGGCCCACGATACGTATAGCTTTGACCACCCACGCTATCGTCTCCAGGTCGCCTTCAGTATCCTCCTGATATTCCACTTGGGACTACATCCTAACGTCGCATTCAAAGAAGGACTCTTCTACGGCGACACGAAGATTCTTCTCACCCGATATGAGAACACCATTCGCGCTATACTTATCATTCGATTGGATGATCGGAATGAACATGCGCGGGCGGCTCAAACATGGAGCAGGTAACTACCAATAGGCTTTTGTCCTTCAATGAAGCTAACACATCCAGAAAAACGATGATGTTGATGGATGAGCCTACGAAGCGCCATATGTGTCCCGTAACTCTATTTTTGTCAATGGCTATTGCGGATGGCGTCATTGAAGGCATTGGTTGCGGCAGCGACATATCATCGCTGTATGGTAGTCGCCAACAGTCTGGGTGGCTGCTCCTTCCCTACAAACAAAATTCATCACGCTTTTCAATACTTCGAAGGACCGGTAACAAATCTAGGGTGCTCTCATCCTGTAGTATAAAGCCATCAGTACTCTACACGATGATGCAGGCACAGTTGGAGCGAGCTGGCCACGAAGAGACGTTTGCGACCATACTTCGGGACATTAGGAATGCAACCCAGCGGGAAAAACGACGTAAGATTGCAGCCGACTACATCTTGGTTGGACGTGGACAGGGTGAATGTGTATCCGCGATACTGGCTTCCGAAATGAACATGCCTTTCGACACGAAGACCTTCCATACACCCGCAAGCCTCAAATCGCCCTATCCACTGCCACACGTGTTAAATGTCCAACTCAAGTATGATACCACACGATCCGGGATAATATCCTATCTGTACGGGTCATATGCGGCATACAACGCGATTCCCGATATACTGTACCCTTTCGTTAGGGCCGCTACATCAGTCGCATATGAGCCGTATTATGTGGACGCTTCGCCTGATGCATCTGGGAGCTGCCCGTGGTGTAATGCCCGGCTGAAACGGTAAGCCTCTTTTCATGCGCAGTAAGATCAGGCTCATCATCTTTAGGATTCCAATGAAGTCGCATTTGCTCAAGTGCTCGCAAAAGCACAAAAACAATCAAATGGAGCAGCAGCTCACCGCAACTCTGCAAGAGAAGCGATCGCGATGCATGTGGGCGTCCTGCAGTTCTGGTCACTTTGAGAATGCAGAGACAGCGGCAGCTCACATGAGCAATCACATCACAGCCGATGCTATCCACTGCCAATGGGGTCCCTGCACCTTCAACGCTAGCACTTCGACTGATCTGCACGCACATCTTGCTGTCGAACACAGTGTCTATACCCAGATGACGATACCAACACAGGCCAAATTCTGCATTGAGTGTGGAGTATGGCTTCACAGTGATCTGGAATGGAACAGGCATAGTGCCCAGCACGCCAAACGTCCAGACATCATTTATGGTCCGATCACTGCTGAAGGCATCCTTGCAGCGCCTCGCCGGTGTCCGTACTGCATGACACAGGGTCGTTTCGTGCAAATGGAAAATCCGAGCCATTATGCCGAGCACATTGAGGATCACATCAACAAGCAGGTGGATAATAGCATTGGGCAGGGCGTCCAATGCCCACATCATTCGTGTCCAACGAAGGACTTCAGTAAGAAGGAATTGCGGGATCACTTCAATACTGTTCATGGCATTGTACTTTGATAGATTAAATAGGCTCAAGAAGACTAAGAGTGAATTGAAGCGCGAGCATAGAAGTACACGACGAAAAGACTCAATGACCTAGTTTTAACGCATTGCAACAACCCATACAGGAACTCATTGACACACTATCAGTCCCTCTCAATAAGATGAATTATACAACAATCATACCTCATGCTTATCCGTTTAAAGTTGCTGATCTCCTGAATCTGACGAATGCAGTCATTGAGATCGCTCCATGCGCAGTCATAGTTCCAAACATGTTGGTGAACGCGTGACGGACCAAAGAGGATCTCCCAGTCGCTGAGAGTTGTTTCCGGACCATCGTCCAACATGATTCGATCGAGTGTCAGAGATGTGAGCGACGTAAGTTGGCGCACTGACTTAAGTGTATTCTGCCAAGCGTCTCGGGTTTTAGCTCCGATGGAAAGAAGGTCGAGATCGAAAGGTGACCTTTTGGAGGTTCTTCAACTGGTGAGACATGCCATGTAGTGGGTTCAGCCATGCTGCCTTTGAGATTAATCGTAATACATCTTTCGGGCATGAGAGCCAGTTGCTGTCACTCACTGTCGATGTCTCGAAAGCTTTGGCCGTCAAAGATAATTGACAGGGAAAAATGCCGAAAGCGCCAGATACGCTCCCTCGTTACAAAATTATGTACGAACTGGCAACGACCGCGTCCTTTGGATGGCGTGAAGAACTTTTCGTACAGGACCTAGTGTGTTACATTCATGTGGTATCGGGCATTACGTTTCTTTGAAAAAAAGAAAAACCTCTGTTGGCTAAGTTAGTCGTCTTGGTACGAAGCAGCGACAGCTTGTTACTCGTCAGGTCAAGACGCTGAGCGTAGCAATAACGGATTCATGTAGCATTGGGGGAAACATATTGTATTAGATTATAAACAAAGTCGCCGGACTCCTTGCTGTCCTTAGCCTCCTACATCTTCTCCTTCTGGGCCCGGCTAGCTAGTACAATTATACATTAATTCTCATCCTCTAACAGCCCACTTGGACATCTTGTTTCACTACAATTCTCCGTCTGAACCTGCACTATTTGTAGACAGCCTGCTTCTTATCAAGCACATTGGTATGGGAGGTTGATGGTCCGTCACCATCATCCATAGCAGGCTCCGAGAAGCCCATGTCGGTATCGTCGTCGGCATCGTCGTCGGCATCCTTGCCAGAAGCCATTTTAATGCTATGCACATCCGGAAATAACCAGGCTGCTTCTTCTCGATCCTTTTGGGTGAGCGATAGTCCTGTACCTGGATGTCGTCCTGCTTTTTTGCATCCATCCATGTACTTCGACCGTGTTTCGTATTTTGCAACGAGCGCTTTTAGGTGACGTTCCGCACAGCTTTGGCCTACAAGCTGGACGTATTCCGTCCTTGTAAGCCACTCTTCTTTGTCGTCCTTGTACATCACCCGAATGTAGGTATCTGGTCTGCGAGGCTTCGACCCAGAGCGTGGGGCGTAGCCTTCAGAACGAGGCATTACAGCACATGGTCCAATTGTTTTTAGGTAGCCAGGAGTACTCTTCATACGCTGCTTTCGCTCCCTGCAGTTAAAGTTGGTTTCCTTGTTCTTATCCGAGAGAGCTTCTGCTCCACCAGGACATAGTTCTGTGCCCTTGATGATCTTGTAGTGAGGTCGGTCGGTCGTACCTGTGTTCACGATAAATCGTGTGAACCTTAAGTTGTCTGTTTGACAAGGACGGATTGCAACCACGGGCCCAAACTCTGTGACCCCGTTTTGATACTCGAACATTTCGATTACATCATCATCAGCAAGCTCCTGGCGAAGTGACTGCAAGCTTTCTGGTGTAGAACGACTAGTCTTCGAGCCAGTACTAGTTGAGCTGAGCGGTGGATTTGCTGCCTTTGACTTGCCCTTACTGGCTTGATTGGAGGTAAACAGAAGCGGCGAGTTACTTTGTTCCTGAACGGTTGGTGACTGGGGAGATCCAAGCAGCTTTGCGACTATCAACTGGTCCTCCTTCTCGGTACCCAACATGAGATTTTTAGCTAGTGGCTGTGGGATAAGGGCTTTCGACAGTGCCGCTGCCCCGTCCTCTATGTTTTCCTTGTTATGAGCCTTCCATTCCTTCACCATCTCAAACAAAATATTCATAGGAAGAGCGTTCTGGGTCTCTGGGATCAGCTTCTCTATGTTACTGGCTTCCATCCGTTCGTGATACTGGACTAACTCGTTGAAAGTACTATCGACCTTCTGGATATTTGCTTCGTTCACCACGTCTGACTCGTAGTAAGTTTTGAAGATTTCTCGAATGCCTGGGCCCGCCAGCTCCCAGACCTCCTCTTGGTCTTTTGTGGGCTTGTTGAGTTCGTCAACGACGGACTTCCATCTCTGCTTGCTCTCTTCGCTGGAGTTCACGATGTCGTTGAAAGTCTGCTGAGCGTATGGTGAGAGTATGGATTGCAGCGGGATGTTCCACTCCTTAAGCTTCTCCTGGAACACGGCAACTCCGTTAAGAAGCTTGATCTTCTCGCTGTCAATTTCATTCTGTTCTTTGGTCGCTGTTTCGTCGTTGCCAATAGTCCGGTTGCCTTCGTAGATTTCGATCTGACCCATCGTTGCAGCTATACCCGCTATTTGGCCGAGTATGTCCTGTTGTGGAAACTTGTACTTCTTGTATCGGGACTCGATACTGCCTTTGATGACTTGTTCGTCAACTAAACTATTAATCCCCTCTTCGGACAACTTATCCTCTTCGTCCTGCTGTTTGTTTTCCTCCACGCAAATCTCACGAACTGCAGTCCGTGCTGTTTCGAAGTCCTCGGGCTTTTCTTTGTAGTCATGTCGGACTATCCTCTCGCACTCCTTCTTGATCTTCTCTTGTATGTCGTTGACATTCTTCAGCTCAACAACGCTTAAATCTTTACCGTGCTTAGCCCACCAAATCTTCACAAGCACATACAGGCTCTTCCAATGCTTCTCGATGCTCTCAGGTCTGGTTTCAGATTGACCATTGTTGCGTTTCTCGGCGTTAGCAACTCGTCCTTGGTGCAGGAACGCTGACCTAGCGGCCTTCTCATCCTCGGTATCTTCTTCGTCGTAGTCGTTTTCGTCTTCATCTTCATCGTGGCCTGTCGGCTTAGATTCGTCGCCGTATTTATTTTCGCGAAATTTAGGTTTCTTTTCTGTAGGTCTTGAAGATGAAGATGAAGATGAAGAGGCACCAGAGGCAGGTTCCTTCCCAGGCAGTACAGCTGCCTTGTTCTCTTTTCCTGTCTTTTTCCAAGGCGCTACTGACCCAGTCCCGAAACTAGACTGCTTGAATTGTTGAGTGGTCGAGGCCATGTTGCGTTTAGGTAGTAGTAGCGTTTAGGTAGAGTAGCGTCTAGGTAGTAGGGGAATGGTGGTAGCGGAGTGGTAATAGTAGTAGCGTCTAGGTAGGAGTAGGATAGTGGTGGTAGCGGAGTAGTAGTAGTAGTAGTAGTAGTAGTAGTAGTAGTAGTAGTAGTAGTAGTAGTAGTAGTAGTAAGACCTGCTAACTTAGCCGATGTAAAAGATTTCTGCTGCAATATTGAGTGGCACATGAGTGAGTTTTATAGAGACCCTAGTCTAGGCTGATTCCCGAACGCAGATGTGTGGTAGTCAGAACGCAGGGACAGGCAACCGGATCAGGCTGTTCAGATACCGGGGCAGGAAAAACTGGTCGTACTGTTTCCGACCACACGCACATCTGCGCTACTTAACAAGAGGTTTAGAGGTGCTGTAGGTGCAGAAACAATGGCTATTCTTCTCCATCTCGTAGTTTACTTTGCAAGCACTGTTGTGCTGGCATCCACAACGTGTCTGACTCCTACCCCCACGCATCACTCGAGGCGAGAATGGTCCTCATCGTTGGCTACTGGACATCTTCCCCCACATGCACCTTGGAACATCACCTCACCTTGGGGCTGGAACGCTACATACACTTCGCAAGCCACAGGGACTGCGGCTATGTCTCGTCCCACGACCACTGTCACCGTCGGCGAAGCAGGCAAGCTCATCTTCTCGCCATCGTCACTGAACGCTTCTGCTGGCTCAGTCATCGCGTTCGATTTCCTTGGACTCAACCATACACTAACTCAGAGTACCATCGGGAATCCATGCCGCAGCAATCAGGGGCTTAACACAGGATTTCAACAATTTAATCCGGCTAATGTGAGCGGGAAGTTTATTGTCGAGATCAAGGTCACCGACCAAGACCCGAAATGGTTCTTCTGCGCGCAAACGGTGAAGCGCTCTCATTGTCAGGCTGGTATGGTCTTCAGTTTAAATCCTCACGGAACGCATGCTCAGTTTCTTCACAATGCCCTAGCGGGTGTTGAAGCCACATCAACTCCGACGAATAGCTTATGCGTATTGCCGCCAATCCATCCAACAACAAACACCACGAGTACATATGTTCCACCTACGGGCACATTGTCCGCAAACTCTAGTCTTAGCTCGGTAGCCATATCTCCTCCCATCTTCAGTTCTGCGGGCACGAAAAGGATATCTAGAGAGTGGTTCATGTTAGCCTTTGCGCTCCTGTAGATAGTCGTATAGCAACACCATAGCCAATCATAATATAACGTATATGCATTAAACTTATCCCACACTGCCTCGGGTATGATGCAGGAAGCGCCAGCGTTACGCGCCTCTACGATAGTCTACGATAGTAGGGCCTGAACAGGTATCGGCTTTGACGAGAAGCGGGCACTGTAAAGTGGCAGGGCGAGGTTGTTGACGCCGGATAAGCACCGTGGAAGGGTAGGGCGATGAACGGGCACTGTAAAGTGCAGGGCGAGGCCGATAAACGGGCACTGTAAGGTGACAGTGCAGGATTGTTGACGATAAACGGGCAACGTGAACGGGTAGGGCGACATCGTGTCGACCACGACGGGGCCTTGAGTTGAGAGAGGGCGCAGCGCACGTCATCGTTAACCAGCGCTAGCGTGGGAACTTTCCAAGGTTGGTGAGGTTGGACCTCGGGATGACATATGGGTGATTTTCGAAATACCATGTACATCATGTGATTTAGCGCGCGGAAGATGCGGACGATGTCAATGTTGCTGTCTCAGCCAAATTTAGCGTTTAACAACAACAGAGCTAGCTGCTGCTCCTTCTAGGATAATTAAAGCTTAATATTATTATTATCTTAACTTCTTATAGTATTGTGATGCCTACAAGAAGGTTAACTTAGCAGAAAATTAATAAGCTAGCACCTAAATTAACACAGGAGGCACCCGCATCTACAACACTAGCAGTATCTAGTTAGCGTTAGCGCATTGCAACTTAGCTATTTAGAAGTTGTTATACAAAGCCTAATTATTAGAGTGTCTTTTAATTTAACTTTGTAGCTGCTTAAAGCTCTTCTTAATTAGATTGTAGTTAGGTAAGTATAGTAGAAGGTACTCTAGCTCCACCTTGTACATCGCACAAAGCTCACAAACCTAAGTTAATTAATAAATAGACTAGATAATTGTCTGCTCCTCTAGTATAGTAAGTTTCTAGCAATTAGCGCGTACGTCTAGTTAAAACGTGATATTGCGAAGGCAATTAGAGACCTGCTGATAAGGTACGTTCAACGCTCTAGCAGCGCTGCAGATACTGCGAAATTGGCCAGCGTAGAAGGCCTGGATAGTAAGGATAACTCTGCCTTCTCTAGTAGTATTCTGAAGTTGTTGTTGTTGAGGCATGTTGTGTTAGGGTAAAAGGTGGTCGTGCTAAGAGAAAGTGGCTAGTTCGGTGATATGGCCGGCTCGGTGATAATCTACGTTAATTAAGCTTTAAAAAATAGTGTAACTAAGGTATCTGTTAACTGTTATTGCTGGCAGAAGTGACTATTACTTACTCTGTTTTATAGAGTAAGCTACTTCAATAGGCGTGCTAACTCTACTCTAACTATACTTACAGTCGCTAGTCCTCTTGTTGCAAGCGCTCTCATTAATCGCAATGATTTACTCCGCCTTATACTATTGCATCCTCGCTCTGTACACCCTCTAGAGTGGCTCGCTTTGCTCAATCGCACGCTTTGTAGCCAGCTTCCTGCTGTAGTGAAGCTTCTCCAAAGCCCGCCACACTGTCGATAGAGAGCACTCCACGTCGTAATCGTTGTATAAGCACTGCTGCATCTCCTCCAGATAGGCGCCGGGTCGCCCATCGAGGTACAATTGGAGTGCTTCTAGCTGCGCTTGCCGCAGTAAAGGCGGGCGGCCGAGCCTGACAGAAGGCGGAGGATAGCACTGTCCCCAGTACTCCAAGCTTAATCGCAGCTTTGCTACAGTGCGACGATCGACTTGGCAAGCAGCAGAAACCTCGGAATCTTTCTCCACAGCAGCTATATGCTCTACTACAGCTTGCTGCGTGGTGGCGGGTAAACGTTTGCCGTTGACGCGCATCATGGGTTGGTTGCCACGCGGAGTCTCTGCCCCAACAACACCAGAAAACAGTCGCGAGAGTCGCGATAGAGCTTTATGAATAAATTGAGCGTGTATAGAAGGTTAAGAAAACAGCTGCAATCATCAAAATACACTCAGAATTAGCCTATGGGTGATGCGTTGAAGTTCTAAGAATACCCCTCGCCACTGCACGTGATGTACATGGTATTTCGAAAACCGTTATAATACGACCACAGTTCTCTTACGCATCTCACATGGCTGTTCTTACAGTACCCCGCCCACTACCTATACGCAACAACTGCCAGCTGCCACTGTAACCTACACGCTTTCGCACGTCGTAATGCTTCGATGACGCGGCAAGCCTCGATTCCGCGGCATTTTAACGCCATCAACACGGTCCTCGCGATCATACACGGACATTAACTGTGCTTCTTTTCTTGCGTCTAAGTGGACTCATGGCTGATAGGATGAGGAAAGCGGCTATCCTAAGCGCGCGGTACCATTTGTTGATTTATGAATAGATATTTCCCGTGCGCTTAATGTTGAAAGCTGATTGTGTGATACTTTTGATGCGATAAAGCAACGAAGGCCATGCACGCAAGTCATCGAGGGTGGAGACCTTATGCTGCGACAGCAAAATGCATATATAGCTGGACATCTACACCACAATCATCTGAAGCATAATAATCATCAAAGTCTACAACATCCCGACCATGCCCCAATACCTACCAAACCAGATTGATGATGCTAATTTAGCATACTACTATACTGAGCAGCAGACATCTCACGGAATTTATTACCGTCTGAATGGGTCTAGTGATCAATTTCCACCAGGATTCTACGCATCTCAAAGGTATTGTCTCTATGCTATCGACTTCACTTCTAACTGTTGGGCTAGGAATGTTGCTAGTCAACCCGCTGCCAGCCAACCTGTTTCGAGCATTGCATCCTCTCTGCCAACAATCGATCTTAGTATTGTTGTATATGTTGGGGAACCGCTGGATTATCAAAAGTATCGACATACTGCTCTTTGCCTTCGGCCTAACAATGGAGGGACATCCATGATCATTCACATTATTGGACCGAACATGTCATATGTGCTTCAAACAAGAGATAACTATGACCCGAGCATGAGTCGCAATTTTGCCAAAGAGGTCTCGGCCGGAACGCTTAGGACACCAATGGCAAAAACCCAGTTGGCGTCCCTCATCTACCAAACGCCCATCGATAACTCAAGCCGCGAATTCAACTGCCAGACCTGGGTAGGAGATGCTCTCCAGAGACTGGCGACGGCTGGATATATAACCCAGAAGGACTGTGATGGCGGTATCGATAGGATGGTGGAGGCGACAATGGAAGCGAAGGAAGAGCCAGAGTAGTCCTCAAGGGTTTTGCCATCGCACGATGGCTTGGTGATGCGCGAGTTCGTCGTTATAAATTTCAGGAAATATGTCTTCTGCACAATCTTTCCAGTTCCTGTGCTTGCACGGTCGCTCGAAGAATTTGATGTAGTCCCAATGCTCTGGATACCACCCTGCGTTCTCCCAATCTAGTAGTCCTGTAATCCGACCATCTTTAACTAAGATGTTGTGCTGTGCAAGGTCGCCATGTGAGAAGACAATACGGTGATCACTACGGATCTGCTGGTATAGTGCGGTACGAATCGGGCTCGGTGTGGAGTCCACAAGGTCAAAATAGAATGAGGAATTGAAAGTGGCCTCGTCTGTGTATGGTCCGCCGTTGTAATGGCTGTATTGGCGGTCGTCTCGCGCTTTTCCGCCAGAGCAAGATCCAATAAGCCCACTCTGGTGAGGTATAGATCGCATTGTCGTGAGGACTTCTCGCAGTTGTCGGCATATACTGCTTCTTTCTTCTGCAGTAATTTTGGCCCAAACCAGGTCAAGCCTGTCACCCTCGATAAAGTCCATTTGAATGAAAGTCTCTCCATTAGACTTGCCCGCATCGTACACGCGTGGAACAGGGAGGCCATACTGCGCGGCAAGCTCCAGTGCTGGTTGTTCATCAATATTGACTCGCCTGCCTTGCTTGAAGACCATAGAGCCCGCACGTCGCGTAACGAGACATCCGGGCATTTCATGAAGGATTACGATGTCTGGTGTATGCTACTAAGTATCTTATCAAATCTGACTCTAGATAAGAAGCTCACCCTTTTCTCCATCTGTCTCCATCATCGAGCTTCTTGACGCTGAAGCCATCGTCACTAATCAATCCTGGCAATGACGCTCGAGGGCTGTTGTAAAGTGGCCAGTATAACGACACGTATGTACTCTCGCGATAGTGGCTTTGACTTTATTTTGTGCCAGTTGTGCGGCTGAAGTGGTGATGCTGAGACAGAAACGATGTAAAGGCAACTTTCAGGCAAGATACAGTAGCGCAGGACACGTCATCAACACTTCTCGAAACCTGTCATGGGAAGCCACACTTATTTTTAGAATATGTCCGAGGTAGCATCAACACGCTAAACCTCGACGCAAGCCACGCTTATTTTTGAACATCTGCAATAGGAATAGCGCTGGGACTTTGTTACAGTGCTGTGTCAGCGGCTTAATGTGGGCAAATACAGTTAACGTGTGGGATCAGTAGTAAGCTGGGCAGATCAGTGAGCTGGGCACCCCACCAAACCTGACGCGACTCCACACAGCAACCACAATGCCGCAACAACAACTTCTCGTGAAGGCAGAATAAGCCTTGCTATAGCATCCTATCGTAACAATACAACAAAGTCTATCCGCGCCCTCGCAAAAGCCTTTAATGTACCACAATCTACACTACACACGCGTATCCGCGGTACCCAGCCACGATCAGAGACAGCATCTGTTAACCGTAAGCGATCAGCCATCGAAGAGCAGTCTCTTCTACAGTGGATCCTAGACCTTGATCGACGACGCTTTCCGCCCCAGGTCATCGACGTACGACGAATAGCAGACGCTCTTCTCGCCGCGCGCGGCCAAGATCCACCCCCACAACCTGTTGGCCAGAAGTGGGTGTCGCGCTTTGTCAAGAGCCAGTCTGAGCTACAGACAAAGTGGAAAAGAAAGTTCCATAGCTAGCGACAACGGCTGGACGACAGATGAGCTTAGTGTAGAGTGGGTAAAGCACTTTAACAGACATACAGCGTCTCGTAAGTATTCACGCAACACAACATTAAGGCTGGCTTCCAGGCGACAGGGCTTATCCCTCCCTGTCCAGATCGCGTCCTATCGTCGCTTACTATCGTCCAGACGCCGTCTCCATCAGCGACAACAGCAGACAACAACGTCGCATGGACAGCAGAGACGCCGCGTACAGTAGCACAGCTTCAGCAGCAGGTACGCTATCTCCAAGACAGGCTCCGCCTGCAATCAGAGAGTCCAACTACTATTGCTATCCGCCAGCTTGCTAAAAGCGCTCAACCCGCAATGCAATCACCAACTATACTTGCAGAGGAGAACAGAAAGCTTCGTATAGCTAGTTAGTCAGCGCCAGCAACGTAAGAGAGACCAGCGGCGTCAGTATATAGCTCGCGGAGAGTGAACAAGCAAAAACACGACAACAGCGAGAATTTTACTTTTTGGAATCAACGCAATTTATCGCACGCAGACGTCTACTAGAGACGCCGTTCGACTAGCCAGCACCCAGGAGCAGCGCCCACTGCTTCTGAGGCGTCATGGCGACACCGTGGCCTTGACGGTCAACATGGCCAAGCCCAATTCGCGAGCACGCTACATGCCTCAGCACTTTTCTGCACGACGTACTGCACCTCATCAAGCGCACCAGCAGCCAATCCATGCCAACAGACATCGTCAGCGACATCATTCGCGGCTCACTGACGTTCGTCCTGAAGATGCAGCACACGCCCAACCTGAGCGCTCTTAGCGACGCCCTCCGCGTCGCCCAGACCAAGGCCAAGGCTACAGCAGAACACACGGCGCAGGCCCTCAACGTAATCAAGAGTGAACTCAAGAACACTGTAGAACTCGTTCAGCAGTCAGCAGCGAACATACAACAGAATGGCAACACGGCAGAGGAGGCGAGGGCAGCAGCCAAGGATGCTACAGAGGTGGGTAAAGCGACGTTGGAGGTTGCGAGAGAGATTAGGAACAAGAGACCGCAAGAGCAGGCGAACAGACCCATGAGCTACGCTGCAGCGGCAGCCAGGGGCATCCCACTAGCAGCTACATACAATGCACAAAGCGTCAAACAACCATCTGCGCAGACACAGCGTGAGGTCATCATGAACATCAGAGACCCGCTCACCGTACAGAGCCTGCGGGCTATGAACCCCAGCAACCTCAAACTACATGTCCAGCGTGCCATCAAGCAGAGCGGCAATGAAAACATAGCAAGCGTGAAGATTGTCTCATCTAACCAGCTGAAGAGCGGAGACAGCAAGCATCAAGACAGCAAGCAGCAGTGAGGTTGAGGCGCTGCGACAGTTCGCGGACAACTGGGCCCACCGCATCGGCAGTGGGACTACAGTGCAGATCCCGACGTTCGGCGTCCTGGCTCACGGCATACGCACAAGCACAATGGACATGAGCAAGCTCAACAAGATCAGAGCACAGATTCTGCAGGACAATCGGCCGTTCATACCTCGGGCTAAGATAAGACACATAAGCTGGCTGACCAGAGACGCGTCTGCCAAGACAGCATCAACCATCACCATTGAGTTCACCAAGCCAGAGGACGCCAACAAGATCATCGACGAGGGCCTGATCTGGCATGGCGAGGTCTTCCAGTGCGAGCGATACGAGCGGCAGTGCCGAGTGAAGCAGTGCTTCAAGTGCCAAAGATACGGCCACATAGGAACCCAGTGCAAGGCAGCAACAGCATGTGGCCACTGTGCGCAGGAACACGACACCCGGGACTGCCCATCAAGGGCCGGACAAACCATAGCCAGGAAGTGTGCCGCCTGCCGCGGCGAGCACGAAGCATGGAGCCGCCAGTGCCCCACCAGGAAGGACGAGATGGCCAAGGCGAGGGCCGCGTACGAGATGCGACCGCGCTACCATCACGTTTCGCAAACGGCCGGACAACACGCGCAACTTGATATACCAACATCTACAATCCGCAGGAGAAGGCCCAGCCAACCGGCTGCGGCCTCGCAACCGACGCAGCTTGCCAGGAATCGTTCGCAAACCGGACGAGGACAGAAGAGGACCAACACCGGAACCAATATCGACACAATGGATCAGGAGACCCCATCGACACAAGTAAGCGCGAGCCAGAGGCCGCATCGACAGATCGTACCCAGCAGACGAGCTCTGGAAGCGACTGGCAACAGCACCCGCGCGATACAGAACCACAGCAGCCATCACATGGAGATCGACTCCAATAACGATGCATGAATAGACACACCACACTAAGCATACTACAGTACAACGTACACAAATCAAGAGACATAGTCATGGCGAGCATGCTACGCGACCCCCAAGTCCACGAGTACAATATTCTAGCCATCCAGGAACCATAGAGGAACCCCTTTGCGGCGACGACACACCATCTGGCAAAAAATGTGTTCCACCTCTGCTGTCCAGCAGAAGAAGAGGTAGGGCCCACCCAGGTATGCTTCTTCATTAACAGAAGATTAGACCACAAGAAGTGGCAATTTAAGGAGCACAGCAGAGACATCTGCTTGCTCACATTGGAGTTCGGCGATGATCAACAGGAGAGACAACACATTGCCATTCACAGCATCTACAACCTGGCGAGGCGCAGCAAGAGCGACGGCACCGTACTTTCAGACATCCGCACAGTACTACACAACAATCAAGCCAATAAGCAGATCCTGCTTGGCGACTTCAACCTGCACCACCCCATGTGGGGAGGCGCAAACGTGAGGCACACCGACACTGAGTCTGCAGAGCTGCTAAATATCATAGAGGACTTCAATCTAGAGAGTACACTGCCTCCTGGAACCATCACGTACGAAGAGAGAACCTCACGCACAACCATTAACCTATGTCTGGTGACTGTAGGTCTGATTAATCAGGTGATCAGAAGCCAGGTCAACTGAGACCTTAACCACGACTCTGACCATCTTCCTATCAGCACTGTGATAGACATAAGAGTACAGCAGCTGGAAACATTGCCGAAAAGAGACTAGAAATGATTAGACGAAGGGACATACCACAAAATGCTCCTAAGGGCCCTACTGCCACTTCGCAGACCTGCAAACAAGACAGCGCTTGACACATACGTCCAAGAGGTTGTCAAGGCCATCCAAAAGGCCATTGAACAAGCAACACCATACACACGTCCATCAAACTGAATAAGAGAGGGCTGGTCAGACGAGTGCAGGGCAGTGCTCACAGAAGCGAAGAGACTTAAGAGAGCACACAACCAATATCATACAGACAAGTCGTGGGAGGCGTACCGCGCAGCAAGGAACCACAAAGCAAGAACAATCAAGAAGGCACTGCGAGACGCTCACAGAGAACAGGTAGAGCAGGCCGCAAAGTCACCAGAAGCATTGTGGAGACTCGTCAAATGGGCAAAGACAAGAGGAAACGAGGTCCCCGTGGTCACACCCACCATACAACACCCAGAGACACAGGAGGGGATAACAGACCCGAAAGCCAAAGCAGATGTGTTCTGTGAGGCTTTCTTCCCAGCACCACCAGAAGCAGATCTAGAGGACATACGAGACGCACAGTACAACAACTAAATAGACATGCCACAGATAACAGAGAAGGAGGTCAGTGACGCCATACGTGCAGCGTCGCCACTCAAGGCACCCAGCCTGGATGGTATTGCCAACAAGGCCCTGCAGGGAGGAGTTGCCCAGCTCGCTCGACACCTGACGAGGATCTTCAACCAGAGCCTGCATCTAGGATACTGTCCAGCCCACTTCCGCAAGTCAACAACAGTTGTCTTGCGTAAGCCAGGTAAAGACAACTACACGGCACTGAAGTTGTACAGACCTATTGCATTGATGAACACCACAGGTAAAATCATGGATGCAGTCATAGCACGGCGACTCAGCTACCTAGCCAAGACCCATCAAGTCCTACTGCCGACACATATGGGCGGCAGGAAGATGCGCTCGACTGAGCACGCTCTTCATGCCGTCACCCATAAGATATATAAAACATGGAGCCAAACCAATGGTCAGGTGGCGAGCCTGTTGCTGCTAGATGTCTCCGGCGCCTTCGATAACGTCTCACACGCACGCCTGCTTCACGATCTGCGGAAGAGACAAGTAGACGAGAAGACAGTAAAGTGGATCACAAGCTTTCTTAGCAACAGGCACACGAGTATCACAGTTGACAGCTTCTAGTCAACAGCGTATCAGATCAACACAGGCATTCCCCAAGGATCGCCACTGTCACCTATCCTGTACCTCTTCTACAACGCGGATCTGATAGATGAATGTAACAACACACCAGAAGCCATGTCCACAGGCTACATAGACGATGTCAGCATCCTTGCGTGGGGCAAGACAACAGAGCAGACATGCGAAACACTGAGCAAAATCCTCGAAAAGGCACAGCGCTGGGCCAGCACACACGCATCAGTCTTCGCCCCAAATAAGTTCCAGCTCACTCACTTCACAAGATCACGCAAACGTATCAACATTGAGACACTAATTCAAACCAAACAGGGCGAGATACAACCCAAAGCAACGTGCAAGTATCTTGGGCTGACAATGGATGCGAAGCTGCACTGGAAAGAACATACAGAGGAGATTAGACAGAAAGCCACGAAGACAGTGAATGCGCTCAGTTGCCTCGGAGGATCTAACTGGGGCGCCAGCCTACTCAATCTGCGACGAATCTACGAAGGCACCGTGCTCCCGCAGATGATGTACGCATGCTCGATATGGTCAAATGCCAGCATGAAAGGGAAGCTGTACACCAGGAGGATGCTCAATACGCTGCAGAGCATACAGGCAAGGGCAGCAAGAGTCATTAGCGGCGCTTACAGAGCAACATCGAGAGCGGCGCTAGACGTAGAGTCGTTCCTCCTCCCCGTCGAGCAGCAAATTTGGAAGCACAACGCAAACACTGTTATCCAGCTACTTTTGAGCAGGGACATCGCGGGCACCTCAGGGTTCCAGACAAGCACAGCACAGCCAACAGCCGCAGACAAGGCTCGCATCAGACACACAAGCTCTTGGGAGAAAGTACACGAGGATATGAAGAGCAAGCAAATCTAAGACGTTAAGACACAAGAACAGATCCCGTGCTTCCTCACTCCACCTTGGAGACACGGCCCAACCACCTACATTGACGCGACTGCTAAGAGAGCGCGGACGCGACACAACCAAGAACACGCGAAAGACAACAGCCTAAGCATCTACACAGACGGCAGCGGCATTGAAGGCGAGATTGGCTCTGCAGCACTGTGTCCACTCACACAACAGGTACGATCTGTGCACATGGGGCCAGACACAGCGTCGACGGTATACGCAGCAGAGCTACAAGGTATCAGCTTAGCACTGCAGATCGCTCAAGAGTATGCAAGCCGAAACGGCGCGCGACGAGACATCGCCATATACACAGACAACCAGGCCACCATCTGGTCCATAGCTAAGGCTGAGGGACGGTCAGGCGCCTACATCCTCGCGGACATCGCACGACAGGCCCAGGAGCTCCAGGACAAAGGACGGACAGTGACCGTCTGATGGATACCAGCCCACGTGGGCATCCCAGGAAACAAGGCCGTCAACAAAGCAGCCAAGGAGGCCACTGGATAGAGGGAACACGGGCGCAGAAGCCCACCAGCAGACGCGCCCCCCCACCTATATACCATAAGGTCGACAGTAAAAAGATGGTGCAAGACACAAGCAGAGCGGGCATGGATAGCGAAGTGGCGCACAGACACAAAGGGCCGCGCAACCTACAGACACACGCCGACGCCCACCAAAAAGGTACTCCGGCTCCACGAGGGGCTTACCAAGCGAGAGAGCGCGCTGCTGGTGCAGCTACGGACTGAGAAGATCGGCTTCAA